TATCTGCTGGACTCTTTGTGTTGAGATTGTCGTCATCTGCTGGACTCTCTATGTTGATATTGTCGTTATCTGTTGGACTCTTTGTGTTGAGATCGTCGTTATCTGCTGGACTCTTTGTGTTGATATTGTCGTTATCTGCTGGACTCTTTGTGTTGAGATTGTCGTTATCTGTTTGACTCTTTGTGTTGAGATTGGCATTATCTGTTGGACTCTTTGTGTTGAGATTGTCGTTCTCTGCTGGACTCTTTGTGTTGATATTGTCGTTATCTGCTGAACTCTTTGTGTTGAGATGGTCGTTATCAGTTGGACTCTTTGTGTTGAGATGGTCGTTATCAGTTGGACTCTTTGTGTTGAGATTGTTATGATATGCTGGACTCTTTTGATTGAGATTGTCCTTATCTGCTGGACTCTTTGTGTTGAGATCGTCGTTATCTGTTGGACTCTTTGTGTTGAGATTGTTGTTACCTGTTGGACTCCTTGTGTTGATATTGTTGTTATTCGCTGGACTCTTTGTGTTGATATTGTCGTTATCTGCTGGACTCTTTGTGCTGAGATTGTCGTTATCTGCTGGACTCTTTGTGTTGAGATTGTCGTTATCTGTTGGACTCTTTGTGTTGATATTGTCGTTATCTGCTGGACTCTTTGTGTTGAGATTGTCGTTATCTGTTTGACTCTTTGTGTTGAGATTGTCGTTATCTGCTGGACTCTTTGTGTTGAGATTGTCGTTCTCTGCTGGACTCTTTGTGTTGATATTGTCGTTATCTGCTGAACTCTTTGTGTTGAGATGGTCGTTATCTGTTGGACTCCTTGTGTTGAGATTGTCGTTATCTGCTGGACGCTTGGTGTTGAGATTGTCGTTATCTGTTAGACTCTTTGTGTTGAGATTGTCGTTATCTGTTGGACTCTTTGTGTTGAGATTGTCGTTATATGCTGGACTCTTTGTGTTGAGATTGTCGTTATCTACCTCTTTGTGTTGAGATTGTCGTTATCTGCTGGACTCTTTGTGTTGAGATTGTCGTTATCCGTTTGACTCTTTGTGTTCAGATCGTCGTTATCTGCTGGACGCTTTGTGTTGAGATTGTCGTTATCTGCTGGACTCTTTGTGTTGAGATTGTCGTTATCTGCTGGACTCTTTGTTTTGAGATTGTCGTTATCTGCTGGACTCTTTGTGTTGAGATTGTCGTTCTCTGCTGGACTCTTTGTGTTGATATTGTCGTTATCTGCTGAACTCTTTGTGTTGAGATTGTCGTTATCTGCTGGACTCCTTGTGTTTGAGATTGTCGTTATTTGCTGGACTCTTTGAGTTTGAGATTGTAGTTATCTGCTGGACTCTTTGTGTTGAGATTGTCGTTATCTGCTGGACTCTCTATGTTGATATTGTCGTTATCTGTTGGACTCTTTGTGTTGAGATTGTCGTTCTCTGCTGGACTCTTTGTGTTGATATTGTCGTTATCTGCTGGATTCTTTGTGTTGAGATTGTCGTTATCTGCTGGACTCTTTGTGTTGAGATTGTCGTTATCTGCTGGACACTTTGTGTTGAGATTGTCGTTATCTGCTGGACACTTTGTGTTGAGATGGTTGTTATCTGCTGGACACTTTGTGTTGAGATGGTTGTTATCTGCTGGACACTTTGTGTTTATGTAATGTTGTTATCTGTTGGACTCTTTGTGTTGAGATTGTCGTTATCTGCTGGACTCTTTGTGTTGAGATTGTCGTTCTCTGCTGGACTCTCTATGTTGATATTGTCGTTATCTGCTGGACACTTTGTGTTGAGATGGTTGTTATCTGCTGGACTCTTTGTGTTTGAGATTGTCGTTATCTGCTGGTTTCTTTGTGTTGAGATTGTCGTTCTCTGCTGGACTCTTTGTGTTGAGATTGTCGTTATCTGTTGGACTCTTTGTGTTGAGATTGTCGTTATCTGTTGGACTCTTTGTGTTGAGATTGTCGTTCTCTGCTGGACTCTTTGTGTTGAGATTGTCGTTATCTGCTGAACTCTTTGTGTTGAGATGGTCGTTATCAGTTGGACTCTTTGTGTTGAGATGGTCGTTATCAGTTGGACTCTTTGTGTTGAGATGGTCTTTCTCTGCTGGACTTTTTGTGTTTGAGATTGTCGTTATCTATTGGAATCTTTGTTTGAGATTGTCGTAATCTGTTGGATTCTTTGTGTTGAGATTGTCTTTCTCTGCTGGACTTTTTGTGTTTGAGATTGTCGTTAGCTATTGAACTCTTTGTTTGAGATTGTCGTTATCTGCTGGACTCTTTGTGTTGAGATAGTCGTTATCATTTGGACTCTTTGTGTTGAGATTGTCTTTCTCTGCTGGACTTTTTTTGTTGAGATTGTCGTTATCGCTTTTTTACTTTATGTTGAAATTGTCATTATTTGCTGGACTCTTTGTGTTGAGATTGTCGTTATCAGTTGGACTCTTTGTGTTGAGATGGTCGTTATCAGTTGGACTCTTTGTGTTGAGATGGTCGTTATCAGTTGGACTCTTTGTGTTGAGATTGTCGTTATCTGTTGGACTCCTTGTGTTGAGATTGTCGTTATCTGCTGGACGCTTTGTGTTGAGATTGTCGTTATCTGTTAGACTCTTTGTGTTGAGATTGTCGTTATCTGTTGGACTCTTTGTGTTCAGTTGGGCCTTATCTGCTGGACTCTTTGTGTTGAGATTGTCGTTATCTGTTGGACTCTTTATGTTGAGATTGTCGTTATATGCTGGACTCTTTGTGTTGAGATGGTCGTTATCTGCTGGACTCTTTGTATTGAGATTGTCGTTATCTGCTGAATTCTTTGTGTTGAGATTGTCGTTATCTGTTGGACTCTTTGTGTTGAGATGGTCGTACATGTAATCTGCTGGACTCTTTGTGTTGAGATGGTCGTTATCTGCTGGACTCTTTGTGTTGAGATTGTCGTTATCTACTGGACTCTTTGTGTTGATATTGTCGTTATCTGCTGGACTCTCTATGTTGATATTGTCGTTATCTGCTGGACTCTTTGTGTTGAGATTGTCGTTACATGTATCTGATGGACTCTTTGTGTTAAGATTGTCGTTATCTGCTGGACTCTTTGTGTTGATATTGCCGTTATCTGCTGGACTCTTTGTGTTGATATTGCCGTTATCTGCTGGACTCTTTGTGTTGAGATTGTCGTTATCTGTTGGACTCTTTGTGTTGAGATTGTCGTTATCTGATGGACTCTTTGTGTTGAGATTGTTGTTATCTGCTGGACTCTTTGTGTTGAGATTGTCGTTATCTGCTAGACTCTTTGTGTTGAGATGTTCGTTATCTACTGGACTTTTTGTGTTGAGATTGTCGTAATATACTGGACTCTTTGTGCTGAGATGGTCGTTATCTGATGGACTCTTTGTGTTGAGATTGTCGTTATCTGCTGGACTTTTTGTTTGAGATTGTCGTAATCTGTTGGATTCTTTGTGTTGACATTGTCTTTCTCTGCTGGACTTTTTGTTTTTGAGATTGTCGTTATCTATTGGACTCTTTGTTTGAGATTGTCGTTATCTGTTGGACTCTTTGTGTTTGAGATTGTCGTTATCTTTTGGACTCTTTGTTTGAGATTGTCTTTCTCTGCTGGACTTTTTGTGTTTGAGATTGTCGTTATCTATTGGACTCTTTGAGATTCTCGTAATCTGTTGGATTCTTTGTGTTGAGATTGTCGTTATCTGCTTGTTACTTAATGTTGAAATTGTCATTATTTGCTGGATTCTTTGTTTGAGATTGTCGTTATCTGTTGGACACTTTGTGTTGAGATGGTTGTTATCTGCTGGACTCTTTGTGTTGAGATTGTCTTTATCTGCTGGACTCTTTGCGTTGAGATTGTCGTAATCTGCTAGACACTTTGTGTTGGGTATGGTAACTTGATGATTCGGAGTTACATATGTAAAAGAAGAATTTTGATGATTGCATTAATTTTAATCGGTGTATATCTCAACCCTTAGGACTAGATGAGGACTATATATGAAATTCACAATTTACACAAGATGCCTTGTGTTAGACCCCGACGTATGTCCTTGCGGTGGAATTTCACTATCTAACACTCATAGGAATAAGCAACTCTACTATAATATCTTAATTACATCTAATTGTAAATATTGAGCTTAATATTGATACAAACACAAACATAATTATTCACTTTAGTTCAATAACCTATACAAATTCTAGCAGCATCGGAGTCGGAAGCAAATTGGAAGAGAGGGTTCTGAAAAAAAAATCAGAATTAAAAAAAGAAATAGACAAAAAAAAGACCATTGTCTAAACCTGAAAGTACTATTTTGAGGGGGTCTGTTCTAAACAAAACAATGAAAAGTGTCTGTTGAAAGATGGGGGGGGGGGGGGGCAAAACGCACGCCAAAACCTTCAATGACTACATTACATGTACATGTACATGTATTATGTCTATCTTTCGCAAAAAAGGGGAGGGGGCTAAGCCCCCTTCTAGCCCCCCTCCCCTGCTTACGAGCCTATGAGGAATGCAGTCAGAACTATAGAAAATTGACAAAGTCAGAAAACGACTTTCAAAGGGCTGTTCAAGGAACTACAAAATGATCATTTAGGAATTCAGTCATTTACACAGAGAAAGTGATTTTCCTTTAAAATCAAAATACATTCTTTGTTGCTTATTTTTCAAGTCAGTAAAACAGACTTAGATTAAAGAAATTGTGATGAACTCTGTTTTTAAATTGAAAACAGATTTGTACTTCGTAAATAAACACATGAACTTCAAATTTATGTTATGCTATAGCATAAAGTTAAAGAAAAGATGTTGACCATTCGTGCAATTAAAAGAAAATGTCTGTTATGGGGTCTATTTTGTCGTAATTTTAGCATATCCCTAATTGCATAAGTTACTTGTCGTTAAAACTTAACAAAAACTGATCTGAAAATACCAGATACATCTATCTAGTTCATATTATAATACACTTATACGTACTTTCTCTACAAAATTTAAAGAGAAAATATTTCAAAGACTTTTCTTTTAGGAAAAAAATATGGTTTACACAAAGCTGGAGATAAAAGATAGACGGGGTGACTGTACAATTGAATGGGTTTAATTACCATATAATTGTAGTAAATCCCACCCTTAATTTTAATCTATTTTAAATTAAACTTCTCTACACTGGTTGTTATGGATATCTGAGGTATTTAAATCACGTGACATCACGTAACAGGTGAATATTTAGACTGAAAACAAGGAAGTAAATTTTGATGCAGATTAGCAGGAGGCAATAATAGATTTAGAGGTGAGGAAAGATATTTAGAAAGTTTAGACATTTCCAGATGTCATTAATGCCATATACTTTTTTAAGATAAAGTCTAGTACATGTATAATACATTAGCTGAAATTAATGAAACCACTTTAGTTTAGACTTTCGTTTGGACCGTACTATATAAATTGCTTTGACTGTTATAAGGTGTTAACATTTTTCTTTCTATTTTTTTTTTCAAACATAAGAAGATTTTGAGCGGCATTTTAAAACTACAATTAGATCCTTCCTGTTATTTCTAAACCGACTCTGTCTTACAATATCACAAACAAAACATAACTCTTATATTGCATTTATATGAAATTGCGTAATATTCCTTTAGCTTTCTGATGTGACCTTTTTTCTTTATACAGGGTACCGGTCTTCTGCATTTTTGACCAAAAACCCCAGTGATGGACCCCCTGGACAGAGCTCAAGTACTCCTCCTCTGTGACCTGTGACAAAGAGCTGCATTACAGAGTCATTGTGAACTTTGTCAGATTAATTTGTGTAAGGCCTGTGTAGGGGACCATCTCTCTGATTCATCCATAAGACACAATGTTGTACCATACAAACACAGAAAATCTACTCCTAACGTTAACTACCCAAAATGTCCAAACCACACGGAGAAACATTGTGAACTTTATTGTGAGAAATGTGACAATTCTGTCTGTTCTACCTGCATCTCCTCTGATAAACATCATGGACATAAATTAACAGACATCTTACAGATTCCCAGCTTCATTAAGGAAATTTTAAACAATGACTTGAAAGAACTAGAACAAAGAATATTTCCTACCTATGAAGGTATTGCATCAGATTTAAACTCTGAAAAAATCATCTTGGAAAAACATTATGAGAAACTGACAACAGCTGTTACCAAACAAGGAGAAGAGTGGCACAGAGAAATTAACATTATCATTGTCAACAAAAAAAAATTTGAAATTGATGAGATGAAAACTAAACATCTTGCTGCTTTAAATAAAAAGGACAATGAAATCAAAAAGATTATTTCTGATGTTAAACAATGCATAATTGATCTGAAGAAAATACTGGGATCTAATGATGTCTCTATCCTAACCTCTGCATACAAATCCAGGAATACTGAATTCAGAAGTTTACCTCGTAAAATTAATATTTCATTACCAAGTTTTTCTTCTCATCAAATCAACAGAGAACTACTCCATCAAATGTTTGGTTCTATGTCTGCATTATTCATTACAACAGAAGAACATGGCTTCACAATGAAGACATTAGAAACTGTATTCTGTCCTCCAATCAAACCACTGCTTCATGAACCAGAGCTCATCACCACCATAGGCACTGGGTTTGGACCTCTATACAGTGTTAATTGTCTCAGTAATGAAGAAATCTGGACATGGGGCAATGACAAAATTATGAAACTCTACAACCTCCAAGGCAAACTACTGAAGTCAATCCAAACCAAGTCTGGGAACATACCATGCGACATAGCTGTGACAAGCAGTGGAGATCTAGTTTACACCGACTATAGTACAAGAACTGTAAATATAGTAAAGAATGACCAGATACAGGAAGTGATCCGACTACAGGGATGGAAACCTTACTACATCTGTAGTACCTCCTCTGGTGATCTCCTAGTTATCATGGACAGTGATAATTATACACAATCAAAAGTTGTCCGTTACTCTGGCTCTACAGAGAAACAAACCATTCAGTTTGATAGTGAAGATAAATCTCTGTTTTCATCTGGATTTAACACTCAGTCTACTAAATACATCAGTGAGAACAGGAACCTGGATATCTGTGTAGCTGACAATAGAGCCGGTGCAGTAGTGGTGGTTAATCAGGCAGGAAAACTCCGATTTAGATACACTGGTCATCCCTCTACTAACAAGGGTACATTTAATCCAGTTGGCATCACAACAGACAGCCAGAGTCAGATCCTGATATCAGACTATAACAACCACTGTATTCACATCCTAGATCATGACGGACAATTCCTTAGTTATGTTGATAACTGTGATCTACCATGTGGCTTATGTGTAGACACCAGAGACAACCTTTTTGTGGCTGAGTATCTCAGTGGTAAAGTGAAGAAAATCAGATACATGTAAATAATAGATTTTGAATAATGACACGTTTGTCAAGAAGCCAAAATCTCAAGAAGATATATCATTGTGACATATCTAATATATATCTACATATATTTTTCCTACCTGAAAAAGAAAAGTAGAAATTGTAAACATATTAATTTTTCGTTGACCCTCTATCATGCACTGCACAGTGACACTAGAAGATTCTGGTCTATTTTATTTTTTTAGCGTGATATGCCCTTATATCATAAATACACGTGAATTAAAATGTATATCATTTTACTCTAGTTATACATATGTAATTCATCTTTGAAAAAAGTCTTTATTAGTATGTCTTCATGGTCTTATTGGGTGCGAGATAAGAAGGTTTAACTGTATATGTAACTCCCAAACAAACATAAGAAATTCTGATTCAAAAAAAGTTTATAGTAGATGTTATTTTATCAGAGTGTTTTTTTTTCGAAAGTCATATTAATAGACACCTATCACTACACTCTGGGGAGCCACCTGTGTCTGTTTTTGTACCTTATTAGCTCCTTGTGTAGACCCTCAATAGTCTTTTTACTCTCCTTATGAGGGCCTCCACAAAGCTGTAGTGGGTCCTGGACTTATATTATTTCTAAATAAACAAAGAAACAAAGGTTTAATCCAAAGTTTTAATTTGTATCTGATAGTTGATGAATTAAGTATGGGACATTTAAAGTTGTTTCGAATTGTTTTATAACACTGATTGAATAGCAGGGGCGAGAGTGGATTTGGGGGTGTTATAGGGTGTCCATCCAACTGTCTGTCTGTATGTCTATCCTTTGCCAATAGGGGCACCCGTCTCCTATCAACAACTCCTCCTTTATCACTGACTAAAGGACATGTGTACTTAAGCAATACTTAATGGACCCTTTTTCTGTGATGATTTACTTTATAATATATTACCGAATTGTTCTCATTTGGTAATAGTTAAACTCCACTATAGTCTGTCCCACGTTCGGAACGTCACTACTTTTTGCAAAATATCTCAAAATAAATAAATACCTTGGACTTCAACCTATATCCTATTGGTAGATTGATTTTTTTTCCAAACTTCCTGCATTTATCCGAACCCTCGAGGTCAACCAGTGTATACACACGGCGGCAAATTCAAAGTCTACGGGGATTTAACATTGTCAAAATGGCCACCGCTTCGGAAGGGGATCATCCATTGTTCGTAATTTTCCGTACATTGCCGTCAGTAAGGTAATGACGTCACGCACGTTCGGGAGTGCTCTATGGTTATCGACGTCCGAATTACCTGTAACGCCCGAGACTGCCAAGTATATATATTTGCACTGCAAAAATTACGTCTTCAATAAAACTTTCATCTGTTCATACCCAGACTGAGACCGAAGGGATCAAAGATTCATTAAAGGGTTATACACTGCATAAAGCAAAGAGGTATGACTCAATATTCATATAAAACAGCAGAAGGGGTGAGTAAATTGCCATCATCACCTTGCTATATTAAAAAAAAAATCAAGGCTACGTTACTGCAAATTTAGCTCGAGTGAATGACTGCTTTTATATCACTACAGCAGTATTAAGATTTAAAAAAAAATGCTGTCTTACCTTCGTTTCTCCCTAGCTTTCCATATAAATCGAACCCCTTATAGTTTTTTGTAAACTGTGACACACGATCAAAATAAGCTTCAAATCGTTTCTATGTGAACAATTGATGTCCTTACATGCACATATTTCCTGACTTTGTTATACATCCAACGCTTTAAACACATAAATCCTTTGTTGATATTTTATTTTAAAATCCCAGTGCAAGACAACATTTGTTGTCTGCATCAATCTACGTCACCAATGAATTTTGACCTTGCCCTTCCAAAACTTCCTGTAATACTGTATCAGTGTTAGGTAAATTCAGACCCAAGATATGCATTTTTGTTTCCCACAAATATAACAGAATCCCAAAAATTAAAATATTCCTATACACACAAAATTAAAGTACATAACGCAAGTGTGAAGAATTATGGATATTTTTAATATAATTTTTTCCCTAAAACAATTTAACAGATTAAATTTTATGATTTATCAGAACAAATATTTTATTGTAGGATACTGAATAGTTACCTGGTGAAGACACAAGATGGAAAAGCACAAACATGGCTCTGTACATTACATATATTAAATTAAGCCATAAGTACCCGCAGATATATTTAACAAGGTATGAAATAATGCAGATGTCTTGAGTTTGGTTTTCAGTCCCAACAAATTTTTTTCGTAAATTTTCAAAGTATGTTTATTCATTGACAATTTCCCAATACACAAACATGTATATTCCTAATTCGCCTATATCATATACCTAGTAGTGTATCAGCCCTGTTTAGACTAGGCGAGACAGCAAATGGGAAGTAGGGCTGTCTCGTCCTCAGGGCTGAGATATCTCTGTCTCGGCCTGTTGTCAAGGAACGGTCCCAGCTCGCCCTCTTATTTCATATCATTTCTGTTTAATTTGTATGTATTAAGAATAAAATTTATTTTTAAGAAATAAATACAGACTAAAATCTTTAAAAATTATTTATTTGTGCTAGAATATTGAGAAAACAGTTTTTAAAATTGTTAAATACTTTGGAATTATTTTATTATAACTGTATCAAATAGGCAAAGTACCGGGGGTAATTTTGAAATACTTTTACTGTGTCAGTAAAACTTGAATGTTTAGAACGAACATGGATATTGCGAGTTCATGGATATAGCGAAGTTTTCTTGGATCCCCAGCTATGTCATCTTCCCAAGTCAAGAGTTTCTGATCCGCTCCGCGTTTATGTGGAGCGGAGCGGATCAGAAACTCTTGACTTGGGAAGATGCAGCTATGTAAATATAATGAATTCCTTATATGGATTAAACAAATTTTGACTTTGCTATTTATCCTAGTTTTACTTAACAAGTTAAAACTAAAAATTGGGACTTTTTATAAGACCTTTCTGAGAACTTCAAACAACCTTAAAGGACATTGAGAAGCTATAAATATTATCATGATAAAATGAAAATTGTTGCACGAAAAGATTGAAATTTCAAGCTTCACATTGAGACTATGAATTAAATTGTAAATTAAATTATCCTTCCTGTCTGGGGATCCTTAAGTATCTTAACAGTAAAATTATAAATTACTTCAAACATGAAACAGTTTTAGATTATAGGATAAACCAGTTTGTATGAACTGTTTTTATTGTTTTATTAATTAAGTAAAATTCAAAAATATTTTACAAAATAAATAATTTGTTATATATGTCCTATATTTAAGGATATTATATGAATTTCAGAGGAATAAATGTTTATAAAAGTCAAGCGCCCACTGATGCTGGAGTGTGGAGTCCATGACTTGTAGTAAAGACATGAAACAGAAGTGAGAAAATGTCGACATCAGTCATCTATGAATGAAGATGGAGATCAAGTGACTAGTCTCATCCTAAAATTTCTGATGAAAATGCTGTTGTCTGGCTCGTCCAATGATCACTCCATTTGCAGACTACCAGGTAATCTTTGGTTTTGTCAATACTTTAATTTGTGTCTGAAAAATTAATGATAAAACATTTTAATTTGTCATAAGATTCAGTGCATAAAAAATACTTATAAATTTGCACAAAGTGAAATTTAAAGATACATTAAAAATTCAGATCATGTTCATCATATTAAGTAACATGAATTGTTTACTTATTAAAAATACATATACTTGGTTAATCCTCATTTTCAGGTTCCAATCTGAAGTATACGTAGGAAGAGTAAAATCTTTTTCATTCAAATTACTTACTAGCTGTGATCCAGATGAACGTCCTGATTGTTTTGTCCAACATAAGATGACTTTCAATCTGACACATTATTCTGAAAAATTGAGTGAACATCCTTCTTCATGCATGTCTTTGTTATGGTATCTTGTCTCTGCATGGTCATCATAACTTTGCACTCTTGTGAATTATGTAACCTATAAAATATCATTTTGTAAGTTAGTAATAAAAGTACATGTATAATCAAATATTCTATGCTTCATTCATTAATATATTTTTGATCAAGGTTTGTTTATTCTTTCAAATGGTGAGATTGTGCATTATTAAAGGTGCTTTTACACAGATTTGAAGTTAATATTTTCTCAAATATCCTGTAAAATATGATGACTATCACATATATTGCAAAAGCATTTAATTCACACAAAAATATTACAAGAGGCACATGGGCCACATTGCTTACCTGAATAGCTTTGACCATGCAGTTCTTTACAAGATTAACCCCTTGTTATACCTTTTCTGACCCCAACCTACCCCCGGGGTCATAAATTGTACAATATAAAATCTACACTACCCCACAAAGATTTTGCATCAGTTTCAGCTTTGCTTTCCCAGTAATTCCCTAGAAGAATTTTTTTATAGAATTTTCTTAATATATACTGAGTACTTCAATTTTAAAGTTTGGTTCCCTATTGTGGCCCCGACCTACCCCCAGGGTCATAATTTGAACAATTTTGAATCTACTCTCTCCCAGGATGCTTCCACATAAGTTTCAGCTTTTCTGTCCCAGTGGTTCATGGGAAGAAATATAAGGATACTAAGAGAATAATATACAATTGAAAGAATTTAGAGGGAAAATTGTAATAGACATCAGGTGCTCAGAGCGTCAAAAATTCATTTCAATACATGTACAGTAGACTTACTACTTATGTTATGCATATTATCTTTGCTTTAGCCAAAGGTTTCTGGTCTGCCTCTCTCCTTATATTGCAGTGTCTAAATCAAGCTTCATATTGCTGAAAGAAGAGAAAGTGTCATAAAAGTGCATAACAGGACATCAATTTCATCATAAACTAGAGTGTTCCAATTTAAGGAACAAATGTGTTACTTGCTTTTAGCTTCTTTATTAAGATGTATCTAAATCTATGAGTGGCCAGCTATTTTTATGCTACTGGCATATACAGTATGCAACCCTCAACTGAATAATTTAGTTGAAATCATTATAAACAATTATTAATTTTATCATTTAACGTGTTAATATGCGTTTCAAAGCAATTGTCACATTGCTTGAT